TATTTAATTGAAAATTTGTTAAATCTTTGAGAGGTACAATTAAAGAGATACAAAATAAGAAATTACACATGAAAGGAAATTTTCTCTTTTTGATACTTCTTTGTAAATTCTGATTTTACACTTTAAAAATGCTGTGGCTGTCCATATGTTACTGCATATCTAGGATGCTTTTGCTTTTACAGTGACACCTAGACTGGGCTTAGCTGTAGAATGGTGTGTAGAAACACATATCATTTGACTTTAAAGTCTGTAGGAAAGATGATCTAAATGTCTTTTTTTTTTTTTTTTAAAGACAGGGCCTTGCTATGTAGCCCAGCCTGGCCTCAAACTCATAATGATCCTCCTGCCTCAGCCTCTGGAGTGTACTGCCGTGCCTGGTTTAAATGTCATTGGTTTTTAAGAAAATTATGACTTTACCTTATGCTCACATTAAATAAATGCAGTATAAAGGCAGACTTTACGTATTTTAGATACTGTTTTTCTATTAAAAATTTCTGTTCTAGCCTGTCATGGTGGCACATGCCTGTAATCCCTGCACTCACTAGGCTAGGAGGATTGCAAGTTCCAGGTTATATGAGACTGCCTTAGAACAAACAACCCCTCCCCAAATTCTGTCTTATAATTTCACAGAACTTTATTTTTTGGAATTATTTGGCTAATGATTGATATTGTTGTATAATTTAAGTAAGAATAAAAAACATGTAATCAATCAGTGGTGCAGCTTTGTTATGGCAGGGTATTTTTTTTCAGTGAAACGCATATTATTTAACTACGGTGTTTTGTATTTGAAAACAGTATTTCTCTATATACATAGTTGTTAAATTGAGTGGAAGTATCTGGGGATTTTTGTTACCTGGGAGATTTTGAACCATTAGACTTTAGGGAGTGGGGTTTGGATAGGACTGTGCTGTTCTTCAAGTGATAGTAGTCCCACTGGAAAATGATTTAAAATAGAAAGGATGTGGTCAGGTTGTTGCAGATTCATGTTTAAACTTTTTAAAAGTGGGAAAAAGAGTAAGATCAAAGATGTTATTGATAGAAAAATTATATGACTTCACACAGTGTTTTGTTTTTTGAGACAGGGTTTTGCTATGTAGTTCCGATTGGTCTTGAACTCGCTGTGTAGTGCAGGCTGACCTTGAACTTGAGGCAATCCCAGTGCTTCAGGCTCCCAAGTACTGGATTATAGGTGTGTGCCACCACATTCAATTTAGAAGTTTTAATAAATTTGATTGTACTTAATGATTTAGCGCCTGTTGAGCCACTGTTTTATTTTGTTGGCTATTTTTAG